AAATTAATAAAGACTCTATTTGATCAGGAGAGGTGTCTTTAATAAGAAGTGATAGTTCATCAACCAATGTGACAATTCTACATGTCAGAAAGAAAAGTTACCAAATAAGGATGGAGACAGGGTTCTGCTTTCTCTCTCTGTACAGGAAAACAGAAATACCCATCTTCAAGAAGTCAAAAAACCCGAGACATCTAGGCGTCTAAAGTAAAAAGGAAAATTATCCAAAAAAATTACCAAGAAAAAAAAATCTGACCTGGTGGTACCAATTCTCTACAGTGTAAAATCTCACCACTTAAAAATTAATATTTCTTTTTTCTTTTTTGTTTTTGTTTGTTTGTTTATTTTTCGAAACAAGGTTTCCCTGTAGATATCGAGCCAGTCCTAGAACTTGCTCTGTAGACCAGGCCGACCTCGAACTCACAGAGATCCTCCTGCCCCTCCCTTCTGAGTGCTGACATTGAAAGTGCGTGCCACCATTGCTTAGCAAGATTAATATTTATTAATCTCTCAAAAAAGTAAAGTCCCAACTAATTAAACATTAAAGCTGTCTTTGGAGTGTGACTCTCTCCTTCTCTAAATCCAAGCATGTTTTAAAAAAAATTCAGAGTCTCTGTCTCACAACAGAAGAGCCACCTGACTGGTAGTAGTTACAATAGGCACTGGATTTTTAAATTTTCCTGGGGAGGTGTATCATCCACAGTGATCGGGAATGACTGTACCACGTTTGACCTGGGGGCCTAGGAACTTCCTGATGGTAAAATGTTGCCTTATTTGTCTCTTGTTGATCTACATTCATTGGTTCAATGTCAGCCTTTGCCACATCTTCCACATACTCCAGAAGATTGAGGCTGTCTACTTTTATCATTCCCAGAGGAAACATTATTTCTAGGAATGCCTTGTCTACAATTCATTCTCAGATGTCCTATTATACCACCATTAAAAATTTGGTATTTTGATGTCTCTTTATACCTTTGGAAATTGCTTCTCCTACCCAAGCCTCAGTATTATAGTCAAATGACTCAACATTGGCTGTGTGCAGGATCCATTCATCCACTGGTGCTAATCTGATCTTTAAAGGCCCAAGTATCTTTTTTGCATTCTATGTTGGCATTTTCAAAAGCCAGAGATTCAATAAGTACTCATCTAGCTTCTGGATATGTTACCCCTATTTGTACAGCTTTAGTTAACCTTTGTAAAAAGTCACTAAAGGGGGGGGGAGCTGGAGAGATGGCTCAGTGGTTAGGAGCATTGCCTGCTCTTCCAAAGGTCCTGAGTTCAATTCCAGGCAACCACATGGTGGCTCACAACCATCTGTAATGAGGTCTGGTGCCCTCTTCTGGCCTGCAGACATACACACAGACAGAATATTGTATGCATAATTAAAATAAATAAATATTTTAAAAAAAGAAAAAAGTTACTAAAGGGTTCTATTGGGCATTGTATGATCTTAGTCATACAATTCTTCATGGTTCTTGAATCCTGTCCAAGCATTCAGGGCTGCTGTATAGCATAGAGACAAAATGTATTCATTGTAAATAGCTTGACTCTGTGGATCAGCATAACGGCCCTTGCCAAGAATTTGATCTTGGGAAGCTTCAAAGTCTTTGACTCTACCTTGCTGTTCTACAGCTTTAGCCTCCTCTCTCCAGTAGCACTTCTACCATAACCGCAGTCCATCTTCTAACACTGCTGAGACTAATTGAAGCCAGTCATGTGGAGTAGCCCTATTGCTTAAAGCCCGTCTTTACCATCTCCCTAACAAATGGTGAATGTATGCCATAAGGTACTGCCGCTTGCTAATTTCTTTTAGATCTTTTATACCTACAAGTTTCCATTTACATTCTACGTATCTATTTGGGTATCAAGTATTTGCTGACTTTTCAGAGGTAATAACAGGATAAGTAGCTAAAACTCTTGGTAAATCATCTCTGACTCTGAGAGGTACTGGTGATGCTAAACCCTTTGCCTGTACCTCCCACCTTGTTTATCAGTTCTGAAAAATTCCTCAATCGATTCAAATCTTTTCATCACTGTCTTTTGTAAAGTCTGAATCTCTTGACCTGTGAATATTTCTAGCAGTTGTAAGGCAGGTCCTAGATCAGTACCTGAAATACCTGAGACTTAGAATTACTAACAAAGTTAGTTAATTACTTAAAAGCAGCACATTCCCGTATGGAGGTTCGAGTTGGTCAGAATATCAAGAAACCCAGAGCTTGCAGGCAGTTGTGAGCTGTGAGGTTACTGGCCTAAGCTCAGGTCAGGCATTCGTGGATCTGAACTTAGAATGCAAGCCTGTGTTCCAGGTGCATGATTAGAGCCACTGCTCCCGTAGTCAGGCTCGGCCTGATCAGAGCAGTCCTGGCAGAAGCCAGAGAAGCTGCAGAAGGGTTGCAGCGGAAAGCAGTGGGTGGCTGTAGCTGGCTGAACCAAGCCAAGTGGACACGGGCTGGCGGTGGACCAGCCGAGCCAAACCTTGTAGAACTGCCGAGAGAAGTAGTTCAGCTGTGCGAAGTCCGTGGGGCCTGGGCGGGGCCCAGCAGTGGTGTGGATTCAGACCACGTTGGCGCCAATTTGTTGGCATATAAAAGAGTTCCACAATCGTCCGGAAGGAAGTATAACAAAGGTTTACTATTTGAGGATAAACTCACAGAAAAGGTAGCTAGCCATCTGCAGTCCTCGGCATGTGCTGGGAACTGGACAGGAATCCAGCAGCCAAGAGGCATGGCATGCTTTTCGTCTGCATTTATAATGCACGAGACCATGCCCAAAGTAGGCCGGTATCTTAAAAGTTATTGGTTGAAGGAGTTCCCACAGCATGGTTTAGAATGGATTGGAGTGTAAAGACCCTGGGGCAGGAACCCTTGGTTAGAAACTGAAGCAACACTGGGTCCCATGTGCCATCCCTTACACCCCCCCCCCCCCACAGAAGCCCAGCAGTTAAGCCGGATCTATGGCTCCCAGTTCCTGTCTGCCTTGTCTTCTCTCCAGCTTGGGGCCCCAAATCTCCACGGCAACCCTTAGATGCAATTCTGATCCAAAGGAAGAAGACTTAGAAGGGGGAGCCCAAAACATAGTGAGGACCTGAGGAGCTGGCCTTCCTGCTCATTGTGCCCTGTGCACTTCCAGGAGCAGCCAGGCCCTGCACTCCAGTTTCCCCAAAGACCCCCAAGGGGATTCCAAGGTCTTCCCCTGCTGGGTACAGAGCAAGGATGACTTTTCTTTGGCAGCTTCCCCAAAGGCTGTTCCTTCTGGGGACAATTGCTCTGGCTGTGTCTGCTCTGGGGACAGGTGAGTGGAAGAGCCTGGAAGGGGCACACCCGAAACTCTTATTCCCAGGTTTTCCTCAGCCAGCACTCACTCTGGTAGGCAGTCTCTTGATAAAGGAGGCTGGGTCTTGCTTAGTATCCTCAAGCCTATTTCAGTCCCTCTGAAGCTTCTAGAAGGATCCAGAGGCAGGGGTCTATGGGTGGGCAGGTAGCCCTTGGGTCTGGGGCTGTGGATGAGACAGTATGCACTGGGCATTCCTGCATCCTAGCCCCGATGTCACTGCTTCCACTCTGCTGTGTCTCCTTCAGTCAAGGGGCCAGGGGTGCAGTTCAGTGACAGCCAGGAATGTTACACAGAGAAACCTTGTCTCGGAAAACAAACAAACAAAAAGACGTATAAGGCCCCGGGGTTTCATTCCCATACCACATAAAAAAATTTAGAGCTGGGCAGGGGTGGTGCACACCTTTAATTCCAACACTCTGGTGGCAGGCACAACTCTATGAGTTCAAGGTCAGCCTGGTCTGCAAAGAGAGTTGCAGGACAGTCAAAGCTAGACAGAGAAATCCTGTCTCAAAAAACTTTGCGGGGGGGGGGGAGAGACACAGAGAGAGAAAGAATAGCCATGTGTGATTCCAGAGACCAGTACTTGAGCAGCCAAAGCATGTCATCCTTGCAAGAAGGTTGCTCTGAATAACTTTCTCAGTCAACTTTTAGAAGCTGGAAGGAAAAAGAGCTTCCCAGCTCTTTTCAGGCTGTCATTTATTTATTTATTTATTGATTGATTGATTTTTACAATACTAGATGTTGAACTAGAGCCTCCCAGGGATTAGGCACGTGCTCGCTCTACCTCTGAGCTACATCCCCAGCCCACTGCTTTCAGTGTTTAGGGCAGAGATTCACTAAATTACCCAGGCTGCCCTTGAACACCCTCTATAGCTCAGCAGGCCGTGGCTTTCATCCTCCTAGCTGGTGTTAATGGAACTGCTGCACAGCACCCTGCTACTCCTGCACAAATGGCTGAGGTGCCTATTTAACACATCATAGCATATTTGGCTCTCAGGCTCTCCCTATATCCCTCAGTCCCTACCTGTAACAGGGCCCTCCCGGCTGACACACTCCACCTCTACCCTGAACTCTCCAGCCCAGGAGGCTGGGCTACTCTTCCCTATGTAATCCAACCATTTTGGTTACCCATTTTCTTTATATTTTGGGCCTCCCGGCTGCTGCACCTGGCTCCCCTCTCACCCCTCTCACTTCCCTTCCTCCCTCCCCTCACTTGGCCTGGCTCAGTCTAGACTTGTCCACTCTGGATTCTCCCAGAGGTCCCTGCCTCTGGCTATGCCCTCCCATACGGCTACAATAACCTGTCTCCTCCACCATCCCTAGGAGCAGTCAGCCGCCATGTCCTTTCTTTTTTTTTCTTTTTTCTTTTTTTTTGGGGGGGGGAGGGTCTGAATTTGTAACCCATGCTAGTCTTAACCCACCGTTACGAAGAATTCTGTACTCCAAGAATACTGGTTTTACAGGCAGATGCCACTACCCTAGGGGCTGAAGTCCAAAGCTTTTGAATAAGGAGCTGTGTGGCTTAGAATTATCATAAAGTGCTCACCAAAATTCATCCCTGTTTTGCCAACGAGGTTCATAGAGGATGTGCGAGATGCTGGGATCAAGCATGGAGGGCGGGTCGGGGACAGCGTGATTATACCACAAGATCCCTGCTTTCTCCCCCTCAGCGGACCTGACAGACATGTGTGGACAGACATGGCAAGGGGATGCGCTGCAGCTGCGCTCGCACTCGGCTTCTCGCAAGTTCTACTTTGTGACTCCGAACACCGACTGCGTGCTGTGGATGCATGCCGCGACCCCTGAAGACAGGATGCGCTTCCAGTTCCGCTTCTTCCTGGTCTACAGCTTGTCCTCTGCCACCCGGATCACCGCAGCTACCGTGTCCACCAAGGCCACCCGGGCCCCCAATGCTTCCTCGCCCGACCCATGCGCACCAGGCTCCTACCTGCAGTTCTATGACGGCCCGCAGGGGGCGCCCCGAGCCCTTGGACCCCCGACCTGCGGCCTGACCATCCCCGCCCCGCTCACGTCCTCGGGACCCTGGCTTGGTCTGCGCTTGGTCACCAGGGGCCGCCAGCCCCGTGTGGATTTCTTGGGCGAGGTGACCTCTTTCCGCCTGGGTGGGTTGGGTTTGATGGTCAGGGTGAGGTGAGGAGAGTCAGAACAGAAGATGAGATGCTCAGACGGCGGGAAGGGAGGAATGGGGTCCCAGCTGGGGAAGAGTGCGTGTTATGGAACCAGTGAGGGACGAACCAATGAGAGAGATCTACAAGTCCTGCTTCCTTCTAGCCCTGACACACACTTCTGGATACACTTGGAAGCACACTCACATAGGATACCAGATTCACACTCAAACCATACCCATATTGCACTCACAATTAAATCACACACACACACACACACACACACACACCTCGCACACTCATCTTTTTTTTTAATTTATTTCGGTTCTTCAAGACAGGGTTTCTCTGTGTAGCTTTGGCTGTTCTGGTTCTTTTCTTTTTCTTTTCTTTCTTTCTTTCTTTTCTTTTTTTTTTCTTTTTTTCTTTTTTTTTTTTTTTGGTTTTTCGAGACAGGGTTTCTCTGTGGTTTTGGAGCCTGTCCTGGAACTAGCTCTTGTAGACCAGGCTGATCTCGAACTCACAGAGATCCACCTGCCTCTGCCTCCTGAGAGCTGGGATTAAAGGCTTGCGCCACCACCTCCGGGCCTGGCTGTTCTGGTTCTTGCTCTGCAGACCAAGCTGGCCTTGAACTCACAGAGATCTGCTTGACTCTTGAGGCTGGGATTAAGGGAGCCCAATTTGTCTTTGACCTAGAGATCTTTCTGTCTGTGCTCCTGAGGTCTGGGTTCACAGGCCTTCTTCAACATTATGACATTATGCCTGGCTCAAACCTAGGGTTTTGTTTTTGTTTTTTTTTTTTTTGTTTGTTTTGTTTTTGTTTTGAGACAGGGTTTCTCTGTGTAGCTTTGAAACTTGCCCTTTAACTCGCTCTGTAGACCAGGCTGGATCTGCCAGCCCCTGCCTCCCAAGTGCTGGGATTAAAGGCATGTGCCACCACTGCCGGCTTTTTTTTTAAATAAATAAATCTTTAAGCCAGGTGGTGGTGGCGCACGCCTTTAATCCCAGCACTCGGGAGGCAGAGGCAGGTGGATCTCTGTGAGTTCGAGGCCACCCTGGTCTACAAGAGCTAGTTCCAGGACAGGAACCAAAAAGCTGCGGAGAAACCCTGTCTCGAAAATTAAAAAAATAAATAAATCTTTAAGAAATAGTAAATTAAAGAGTCTGGGATGTGGCTTGCCCAGCTCAAAGAAGGCCCTGTGTTTGATCTCCAGCATTGCATAACTCAGGCATGGTGGTGCACCCTGTAAACACAGCAATTGGAAGGTAGAGGCAATAGGACCAGAAGCCAAAGGTCATCATCAGCTGCATAGCAAGTTCAAGAGCAGTCTAGGCTACCTAGTTATGAATTCAGTAGGTGTTAACCATCACACCACCACCCCAAGCACCATTACCACCACCAGCACCACTTCCACTATCACTGTGTTCATTGCCACCAGGATTGTACTGCTGTCTCCCCAGGAAACACCTTTCTCGTATGTACTGACAGCAGCCCTGTCCTGCCCCCACCCCAAGCAGTTCTGTCACTGTTGTAGGAGCTGGTTTAGGATCCTTACTCCCAGCTTCCCTTTTCTACCCCAGGGTTTTGCGGCACCTACTTCCGCTGTCGGAATAGTAGGTGTGTGCCCCGGAGCCTGCTGTGTGATGACAGGGACATGGACAACTGTGGTGACGGCAGTGACCAGGACACCCAACCCCCAGCCAGCTGCAGAGGTCAGTGACGAGGGTTGCTCGGACCCCACTGCATAGCAAAGCGGAGAGGCTTGTTGGCCCTACTACCCTTCTTCTGGATGGCAGGGCCTGAGTGGGGAGGTGGCATGGAGCAGGGAGGAGTATGGCCACAATGGTAGTCGGGTTAGAGACCAAGGGGGTGAGAGCCAACGAAACAGGAAGGGTCTAGTCCTGAGACCTTGGGAACGAGGCTGTTCTTCACAGGACCCGAGGGAGGACCTGTCTCAGTTATTTATTTCAGTTAATTATTGCCAGCCATTCCAATGACATCTGGGGTATGGCAGATGCTTGAGTAACAATAGCTAACTGATTATAACAGCAAATTTCATGACACCTTGGTTTCCTCGTCAGAAGGGGATGGGGGTCGTGACCCCTAACCTAGCAGGCACCTCAACTGTGAGTACTGTCAGTTGAGTGTGCCACACAGAGCTGACTCTTGCTGCTCACCCAGGTTGGTCTGTCCCGTGTCTTGAGAAGCAGCTCTAATTATAAGCCTGCTGAATAGGAGATCAGACCTCACCTCGAGCTGTGTGACCTTGGCCGGATGTTTTATTCCCTCTTTGTCCCTCATTTCCCTTATTCTAGGAATGCGTTGTAGGCAGAGTTTCTCTGCCTCTCAGCAGATGCTCCCAAATAGCCGTTCAGAAGCTTATTAATTATACATGCTCAGCCAATAGCTTAGGCTTGTCTCCAGCCAGCTCTTTTTTTTAAAAAATATTTATTTATTGTGTATACAATATTCTGTCTGTGTGTATGCCTGCAGGCCAGAAGAGGGCACCAGACCCCTCTACAGATGGTTGTGAACCACCATGTGGTTGTTGGGAATTGAACTCAGGACCTTTGGAAGAGCAGGCAATGCTCTTAACCTCTGAGCCATCTCTCCAGCCCCCTCCAGCCAGCTCTTACAACTTAAAATAACCCATTTCTAGTAATCTCTGTGCTGCCCCAAGGCACGTTTATCTCATCTCTGAACTTCCCTTGTGGCTTCTTCTGCATCTGGCTCATGACTCCCTGACTGAGCCCTTTCTTCTTCCCAGCATTCTCCCTGCCCCCCAATTCCTGCCTAGCTATCGGCCCATCAACTTTTTATTGACAGCGAGAGCGACGCATCTTCACAGTGTACCGAAGGATTATTCCACGGCAGTGGGGATTGCAGAGGAGTCTCATGGGGCGTGACACTGCTGTGTCCTGTGAAGGGGCTCTCAGAGTGCTGTTACTCTCACAGGTCCTTCTCTGGTACCCACGCAGACCCTGAGAATGGAAGATGACAGTTCCAGGCCTCCGACTCTCCTCATGGCTCTTGGCTCTGCAGCGGAGAGGACCTCTCCAGCAAGCCTGGCATCCATCACACAAGAAGTATTGGAAGGTAGCTGGCGTCTGGTGATGAACTTCTCACATTCTTCTACCAAGATCCTACTTGGCTCAGTTAGGAAAACGCTTGCTGCACAGAGTGAGAACTTGACTTTAGATCCCACCGCCTGAGTATAAAATCAGGCTCAGCGGGGTGGATCTGTAACCCCAGCACTGAGAAAGTGAGTCTAGCCCAAAGGGCAAGCCTTGGGTTCAGTGGGAGAGACCTTGTCTCAGATGGCAAAGAAGACCTTGTCTCAGGTGGCAAAGAAGAGAGCGAGACAAGGAAGCCTCCTGGGTTGGAGAAATGGCTCAGAGGCTAAGAGTGCATGCTACTTTTGCAGAGAACCTGAGTTTGGTTGCCAGCACACAGCTGGGCAGCTCACAACTGCCTGTAACTCCAGCTCCAGGGGAACTGATGCCTCTGGCTTCCAAGGACACCTGCATGCATGTGCAAATGCCCACCCCCCCAGCTAAAAATAAACCTTAAAAAAATAAACCTCTCTGGGCATGGAGGACTATGCCTTTAATCCCAGCTTGGCCTCGAACTCACAGAGATCCACCTGTCTCTGCCTCCCGAGTGCTGGGATTAAAGGCTTGTGCCGCCACCACCCGGCAAAATAAATAAATCCTAGAAAATTAAGAAAAAAAAAAGATAAAAAAATGGAGGGCTGGCAAGGAGGAGTAAGCCTGGCAGGCTGACTTCAATCTACAGACTCCACATAGTCGTCCCTGGACCCTCAAACCCTCACCCCACCATAATATTACTTAGGATACACATACACTCACACATACACAACACACACACACACACACACACACACACATCCCATCTATGTGATGTCAGGACATTAGGTCTCTAGGTGGAAGCTCACTGGACTCTCATTCCTCCCACAGGTGCTTGGATCCGGTGGGTGGCTCTGGCCTCCTCGATACTGTTGACCTCCACTGGCCTCCTCTGGTGGTGCTGCTGCTGCCCGGGTTGGCTGGGTTGGCACCCAGGGGCTCACAGGCTCTGTCTCAGATGCTGCACATCCTACGATGCTTGCCACCTGTGTCCTGGTCGGGTGGCTCCTGGGGATCTGTGGCTGAACTGGCCAGCTCTCCAGAGCCAGGGAGGCCATCCTTAGGGGGCTGTCTGGGGCCTGACAGGCCTGAGCTTCAAGTTCTGTTGACTGGCTTACTTGGAACAGGTCACTCGGCAGAGTAATCAGGCATGCTTTGCTCTTAATTATCCCTTATTGTCCAGCACAGTAGCTTCCATGCTGGGCTTTGCTCTGAGTGAATACCTTTTAGAAAACAACAGCTGGCTACCTTTGAAGTGGGCAGATGGACTCTAAACAGATGCTGTAGCATGAACAGCGAGGCCCAGGTGGGTAAATAACAGACTAAATATCACCACCTATGACCACGTCAGATCTAATCAGAACACACTGATACAGGGGGTCTCTCCAGGTCTGGGGATACAGTGCAGGACTTGTCTAGCATTCACAGAGCCCTGGGTTCTATCCCCCCAACACCTCATAAAGCTGGATATGGCAGTACACACCGGTCATCCCAGGACTCAGTAGGAAGAGGCGGGAGCATTGGTATTCAAGGTCAACCTCAGCTACATAGCAAGTTCAAAGTCAGCTTGGTTACAGGAGACTCTGGTTAACACCAAACCCCCCTAACAAACAAAAAACCATATAAACAGACAATAACAAAAAATGAGGACCTTGGAGAGGTGGTAGCTCAGTGCTTAAAAACACTTGCTGCCAGGGCTGGCGGTTCAGAGGTGAAGAGCACTAGCTGTTCTTACAGAAGACTCAGGTTCAATTCCCGGCACCCACATGATAGCTCTCTAGGTCTAGGGGATCTGATAACCTCACACAGACATATGTATAGGCAAAACACCAATGCACATAAAATAAACGTAAATAAATAATTTTTTAAAAAGAATACTTGTTGTAGGGATTGGAGAGATTGTTTAGTGGTTAACAGCAGTGACTGCTCTTCCAGAGGTCCTGAGTTCAATTCTTGGCAACCATCTCTAGTGGGATCTGATGCCCTCTTCTGGCATAAAGGTGCCAATGCAGATAGAGCACTCATACATAAAATAAATAAATAAATCTAAAAAAAATAAAAAGAATACTTGTTGAAGATCTGCATTCTCTTCTTGTCACCAACTTGGCAGCTCACAAACATCTGTAACTCCAGCCCCAAGCAATCTGACACTCTCTTCTGGCTTCCTTGGGCATTCATACCAGGCATGCATGATACACACACACACACACACACACACACACATACACACACATGTATACACAGACACACATGCAGACAAAACCCTCATAAAAATAACTAAACCTAAAAATAAAGTTTTTTTTTTTTAATGAGCCTATCAAAACCATATCAGAAAAACCAAGTTAGGTGTCAGTGAATCACACCTATAATTCCGGCACTTGAGATGTTGAGGTTGTCCTGAGTTTGCCAGCCTGGGCTACAGAATAACACCTTGTCCTAAAAGTACAAGAACAGGGGCTGGTTCCTGGCACGGTGGCACACACCTTTAATCCTAGCACTCAGGAGGCAGAGGAAGGCAGAGTTTGAGGTCAGCTTGGTCTACATATCGAGTTCTAGGACAGCCAGGGCTATACAGAGAAACCTTGTCTTGAAGAATCAAACCAGGGAAGGTGGTTTAGCCGTTGAGAACACTGGCTGTCCTTCCATAGGACCCAGGTTTGATTCCCAGCTCCCACATAGTGGTTCACAACGGTAATTCCAGCCTCAGGGGATCCGACATCTTCTTCCAGCTTCTGCAGTTATTAGACACACAGGTGGTGCACAGAAAACACACGCAGACAAAACCCACATATGTGTAAAAGAAATAAAACTTAAAAATACAAAACAAGCCGGGCGGTGGTGGCGCACACCTTTAATCCCAGCACTCGGGAGGCAGAGGCAGGCAGATCTCTGGGAGTTCGAGGCCAGCCTGGTCTACAAGAGCTAGTTCCAGGACAGGAACCAAAAACCTACAGAGAAACCCTGTCTCAAAAATCCAAAAAAAACAAAAACAAAAACAAAACAAAACAAATGACGACAAAGGAAGAAAAGCCAGGCCTATGAACCTACACCAATGGATGATGTAACCTCTTGCCCTGGATCGTATACAGGGAAGGACACCCAATGCAGGGGTACACTGGCCACCAGCAGTCAGTGGGTCCTAGATGGGACAGCGTCCTAATGTGGAGGCTTCAGTGCATCAGGGAGCAGGGTCCCCTGCTTGGCTTGTCTGAGCTGCTAACTGTTGGAAGCCAGCTCCTAGGCGACTGGGAATGCTAACTGGGCTGTTGGACTCAGCAGGGCCTCTCTGCAACTCTGCCTTTGTCTTCACTGGTGCCTCTACAAACCTTTCGCAGCTGATCTGTAACACAGCACACATGCACACATGTATATACACATAGATACACGAACAATGCTGTGACAAGTATCCTGAGATACCTGAGAAATAATATTAGTCGTTAGGATTGGAAGAAAATTATCTGACGTTGTCAAGGGCCATGTCTGTGAGTGACTTTGTAACCAATAATGACATAGCTTATGAATTTATTGTCAATTCAGTAAAACCTGATTTGTTGAAAGACATAATCTTTGTCTGAAGCATAGACATGACATGCTCATGACAGAGAGAACAGGTCGTGTGGGGTGGGCGCTGTGCTAGGCAGGTCCTATGGGCAGGGGTGGGCACTGTCCTGGACAGGTCCTGTGGGCAGGGGTGGGCACTGTGCTGGGAGGGTCCGAAGAGCAAGGGTGGGCACTGTGCTGGGTGGGTCCTGTGACTGGGGTGAGCGCTGTGCTGGGAGGGTCTGAAGAGCAAGGGTGGGCACTGCTCTGGCCTGGGGAAGGGGTACCAAGGGCAGGAACTGGGCCATTATCTGATCGTGAAACTTGTTTGGTTTTGCTTTTCCTTCTGATCTCAGAAACCCTGCCATGCCCTCCACCCCATGCAATACTGAGTGGACCCCTTGTCAAAGAGACAGGAGACCTTTTGGCGGGGATAGCACCATTTATTAAGAAAAAAATCAGATGAAGACCACAGGGGTTCCCTTGAGGACCCGAGGCCAAGTATCCCAACAGCTGTAGTCTGGGTCTGCTTACCCCTCAATTGGGCCCTCAGGCTTCCAGGTGGGCAGGGCATCACCCCTCCTCCCCTTCCCAATCTGAGGCCTCGGCTGCCCCCACCAAGACACTGGTCTTCCTGATTCCTGTTCCCCCACGCCCTGGGCCTTCACCTCCAGAAGAGTAGGGGGTACGGCCTGGTGTGGTGGGACTTCATTGCTGGGCTCTGCCTAGCCGGTGTGTGGGGGGGAGAGTTGGTCTCCCTTGCAGCTCCTGAGGGCAGGGCCCTGAGCTGTGTGTGGGTGGTAGTGGGGAATGCAGGTGGAAGTGGGCTGGGTGGGAGGGAAGGCTGCCAAGGACATGGGGTTTCTGGCTAGGTGGAGGTGGAGGAAGCTGGGGTGTGGCAGGGTGGGGAGTGAGCTGCCTTCTGTTCCCAGCACAGTAGCTCAGGCCACTGCAATGTCCCCTCATTCAGTGTGACAGTGAGGTGCCAGGTGGTAAACTGAGGTTGGCACTCAGAGCAATGAGGATTGTCCTGGGGCTGCTAAATGGACAGCCCAACTTTACTTTGAAGTGGGGAAGGAGGTGGAGCAGTTTTGAGCCCTACCAGCCTGACTTCAAGTCCCAGTGGCCTTCTGAGGAAAACCTCTTCCAGTCCACCTGCCCTGCCCACCAGCCTTGGGGCTCTGCCCACACACGTGGGGGAGCTGGCGCACCCACCCTCCAGTCCAGCCCAGGGTGGTAGCAGCAAGCGTGGCATTGCCTCAGTCTTACAAAAAGTCATAATAATATTAATAATAATATACTCGACATTGTCAGGCTGGGTGCTGCCCAAGAGTCCGTGGGAGGGAGGCGGGTGCCTATGAGGGGCAGGGACGTGTGTTGGCCCCTGCTTGGGCACGATGCTGCAGGTCCAGGGGCTGTGGGGGTGGGCCTCCAGGCCGGGCTGAGTGCAGCACCAAATTCTTGATACAGCCTGTGATCCCAGAGGAGAACTTGGCTCTGGTGAGTGTGGCCACATCTGGGGCACCACCTGTGGAAGAGAAGCGTGACGGTGGGTCAGAGCAGCAAGGAGGCCAGACTGTAGCGCTGAAGGCTGCCATTCCCTCCCCTGCCTGTCTCGACACCCTGCGGGGTACTCACCAATGTAGACCATATCCTTTGTGTTGACCGCTACATTAGGACCTGGGGACCGGCCGCTGACAAGCTCCTCACCGTCCACTTGGATGGAGCCTCTCTGGCCCTCTCTGCAATGTGACAGGGTCAGGCCCATTGCCCTGAATTCCCATCCTCCACAAATGTCCTCTTCTTGTCATTGAGACTCACCATAGGTGGACAAATCTGGCCCCTGCTTACTCTCAGGTCCCCCCTCACCTACTGGTTATACACAGTCACCTTCTGAGTCCCAACCTCAGGTTGCTTCTCTTTAAAAAGTCAAGGCTGGGCTTGAATTCAGGATCTTCTCGATTTTACCTCCCAAGTTCCTGGATCACAGGTGTGCACCACCCTGGACCCTGATGGAGCTCTGCTTGCCGGCAAGGTGTCCATCCCACATCACCTTCTCATTCGGTCTCTAGGATCTCCAAGCCTCCTCCTCTTTACCCTCCCCTCTGGAGGGCGAGCTCCTGGTCCCATGCCCACCTCTGGTCCCTTCCCCTAGTGCTGAACTGGATTTCTTACCGCAGTGCCGTCACCCGATGCCACTCGTCATCATTGATGGGGTCCTCAGAGACAAGACGGGCCTCCCCACTGCCCAGTTGGTAGCTGGGGAGACCCACGAAGGTGTGAGTTATGGGGTGGGACAGGAGGTTAAAGGTGCAGATGGCATTAGGGGTGTATGGCTGGGACACCTGGAGCTCCAGCTTCCCGTGGGAGAAGCCAGGGATGGAAGAGGGGGGATGGAGGTGCTAGGATTCACCTGAAGACAAGATGGCCATCTTGCAGTCCAAGGCTAATGAAGTCTTTGCTGCGGCTGGCCTCTCTCACCTGCCAAGGAAACGTAGAGTCTCTAGGGTCCTACACTGGGGAG